GTAAATTAAGTTTTCTCTCAGCTGGCTACTTGTAAAAGTAACCTGCAAAATCAGCCAATTACACCAGAATTCAGAGAAGTTTAAAAAAAAGATTCTGTCTTATGACAAAAGAGTTAATTACATGATATTAATAAGATTTAACAAATGTAGAGAATTATATATATATATATACATACATACATACATACACACTTTAAAAATCAGATCAGCTGAATCTGCTACCTTGAAGCAAGGTAGTGGTTTCAACTGATCTCCTGACTTTTAAAGTTAAAAGCTCTACATGTTAATTTTATTTTTTTCACACATGTATTGAGCACTTTTTAATACTACTGTTTCCTGGTCTGATTCAACTCTGACCATATATATATATATATATATATATATATATATATATATATATATATATATATATATATATACACACACACACCAGTTCTAACCCATAAAAATGTCAGTTTTTCAGTTTGAAATTTCTGATGAATCTTAATTCTTCAGGTAATGATTGAATAATCTCATGGCAAGTTCTACGACAAAAAAATATCCATAGAAATGAGGAACAAATGAAAAAATTTTAAACTGACAACTTTTCCATTTCACTGAAACTGCTATTAAATAATTCTATCTTCCTTTATTATTTTCTATCTTACATTTTCTGGCTGAAACCAAGTAGCAACTTTGATGTCTTTTGTCTTCTCACATGATTAAAACAGAATAATCCTTTTTTTCTTAGTACTTCATCCTCCTCCCTGCCATATTTTTTCTTTCTTTCACTGAAACCAAATAGTGTGTCTGATAAGTCTTTTGTCTTTCCACGTGATCAAAATGGAATAGTCCATTATTTATGAGGTGTTGGCAGGGCATAACATGCAAACTAACAAAGAGAGGAACAAGCACAATTAATATACATTTTTTTTTTTAAATCCACTATTGGATGCAGGATTTCTCACTTGGTGGATAAGAAGAATAAATGGATTCACACCTTCCATAGATAATTCCTAGAATTTATTTTCTATTTTAAATTTACATTTTTTAGTTAATTTTTTAAAAATTCCTAGGTTTCTTAATTATTTCCTTTATCTTATTTTAACCTTATTTGCTGTATTTTATTAATGTTTATAGTTTCATATTAAAATATTTTTCTAAAATAAAAGCAACTTTTATACTGTAATTTTTTGGAGGATGATGAAAGCATTTTTTTTTTAAATTAAAAATGTTTACTGAGTGAAATTTAAAAAGAAAAAAACATGTCCTCATGTGTAACACTGTATCAATTCCTAACACAGTAAAAGAACATAAACAGAAAAAGGAAACTGTAAAATGTCCTTTACTGACTGTTAAGTGAAACAGTTTAAAATTACATACCCATTCACAAAAAGTTTTGAATAAGAATTTGTGTAGATCTTTTAGAACGTATCAGATATATTTAAATAAAATTAACTAAATTTAGATATAAATCTGACATATGAATAATTTTTACAAAGATATGTAAAATTTTCTGTATAGTTTTCTCAAATATTATAAAAGTATATTATTAAACACCATCATGTAAAAGTAATTACAGCAATAAAAGAAAATTGGAATGAAGATGGAGGATAATAAAAGATCCCTGTAGCATTACAAATTGTAAATATATACCTTTGACTCAGCCATAATTTATGGACATCTCAAAGGGTAAGAAATGTATCATGTAAGTCTGGCTATAGGTATGATATTATAAGTTACCTCATCAGTACAACATGATGTCTACGTCAGGCTGTCATTTTTCTCTTGTCATTTATGGCTTAGCCATAGGGCTGGTGCAAGGGTCTTGTACCCCATTGAATCTATGATCTGACCCCCCCACTCTACTATATCTCAATTTTAATAAGGTAGTATTCATATAAAATACAAACTTTATTGTAACCTAATTATGTACAATAATGGATCATATGATATATAGGTGAACAATTCAACTAGAAAAATTGAAAATAAATACAATGTATCTAAGTGCAAATTAGAGACATGTCATAATAGATCATTCCATCTTAAATAAACAACGTTTTGCAGCAATTTTTAACATCAACTTGAGATTTTTCTTGTTAAAAAGTTAAATAATTTTAACGCATCCAACATTATGGATAAAAAATAGTGAATTTTATATAGTGTTGTTTTTTTTTTTTTTCTTTTCTGAGACTTAGCATGATCCAAACAAATTCATGGAATTGGGAAAAAAACAAACAGACAGACCAGACCCATGAATGACGTCAAAATCTGCAAAAATTTTCATCCTTCAACAGTCATGCTTAGCTTAATTTGCAATGGATATAAATGTAGGTAGAAAAAAAAGCAAATGTTGTTAAGATAGCGAGGGTCACAAAGCACTGACCGGAGTCACAATCAGGCTTGCCCAAAAGTCAGGGGGTTTGGGTCTAGTATACACTGACCCTACTTGGCCACATCACTGATATGTTCAAGTCAACTATCAAATTAGAAATAATTCACTTCTTGGTTATGATGATTGTAAACACTTCTTGTCCCATCAGAGAATGCTGGGATCAAGACAGATCCATCTGCTAATGTGCATTCAGTTCACTACATGAACAAACTATCTAAAGTGTTTTCCCTCAAATAATATACATGTCCTGGGCACCCCGAGGTGGTGTAATGGTTAGCAATCTTGTCTCTCTAGAACAATTACGAATGAGTAGTGAGTTTGATCCTCACTGGGTGCCCCATACTTTCAGCCTTGTACCACATCTAAGCTACGCTTGGAAAATCACTATATACTATATATATATATATATATATATATATATATATATATATATATATATATATGATTCCTGTTAGGAGGCATATTTTTCTTTTAGCCAGAGTTCTTGATCTAGGTTGGTTGTTATTAATTTTACTGTTTAAGAAAGTAAAAACAGTGATAGTAACTAAAACGCATGTACACACTAGAAAATGTTTTTTTTTTTTAATAGTAAGTGTGTGTGTGTGTGTGTGTGTGTGTTTATTACGCTTGAAAAAAAATCACAATAATATACATGTCCTTGTTTTTATTCACCCTTGTACATAAGTGCTACTATATTGCAGATATATTAATGCTATATTAAGATGGTAAGATACACTTATCTCAACCAGCCATTCCAATACCTCTACACAGACTTGTGTCTTGGACTAAAAAGAATTCACAAGCTCTTCAATGTATTAGTTATATTATTAAATGAAGCATTGTTGATACATGTTAATTTTTGACTTTTTCTTTCATCTTTCTATTGCTTAATTTGTAAGGTATATAAATGTAGGTAGAAATTAACTCTCAGATTACCATTCTACAACTGTTAGTAAACAGTTTTAACCAGAAATAAAGAATAAACTCACTGAGATCTTATTTAATTTCAATCCATTCTGTAGAATGACAGATTGAATAGTTACAATGAAAAGCAACTGAATTTAAGATGAAAGAAATATTAGTGACAAGTAATAGTTCTCAACTTAGTATAATAATTTCTACATACATACTCTTTATTATCATTATCAAGTCTATTCTTGTCATATAGTTCCATCAATTTTCTCTTCAGACGCCAATTTCAAAGATAATATGCTCAGTGAATGATTTTAATTGCTTCTGTCGTGCAACAGCATGCTAGTTACATGAGTATTTTATCAAATAATTGCAGAGTTGAAATTCAAAGAAATTTAAAAATATACTGGTCACAATTTTAGATGCATTAAACAATTTTTAGAACGGTTCTAGACAATAGAATTGATATATGAATATTACAAAAAAAAAAAAGAATTGTATTTGTATGTGCAAAGTGTGTAATTTCTGCTCCAAGACACTAATAGTTTTGCTTGTTAAGTATCCCACCAATTTTGTGTTAAGTGATTTTTTTTCTTTCCTAACCTTCCAATTATTTAATTTAGCTTTGAACATTGGATTCGTATACAGTCAGTTATCTATATTGATGAATATAAATAGATGTGGATAAATTTTTTTGCAAAATTTCTTTCTACTAAAAGCACAAACTCATTTGGTTCAACTGGACATTTATTAAAAAAAACAAAAGAAAAAAAAAAAACAGCCCCCCCCCATAATATTTGGACATTTCTTTTGGCAGTAAATAATTGTATTTTTTTGTTTGGTTTAAAGCACATTAAACAGGTAAAAAATGGAGTCCCACTTCCAATCTTTATTTAAATTTGGATTTTACTTTGTAAATAAAATATATAAAATTATTCTTATTGGTATCTAAAAGCAAGATTGTTAGTCGGTCAGTTTATTAGTATAAGGAGTTCAATCCTCATCGAGTGCCCTACAATTGCAGCTTTGTGTCAGACTAATGGTAAAAGTGAGATTAACCATTTCTATACAAGAAAGATTTGGCATTCATCAACCAAACACTTAGCGCTACTGTTTGTTGAAATTTATAAAATCTTTCTCTTAAAACAGTTTTTTAGGAAAACAGACTTAACTATAATTGTTTTTTTTTAGTATTGATGTCAGTTTCCTGTCTAATCTTTTATTTAAAATAATATGGAAATCAAAATCTGATTATATCATTATTTTCCCTTTGAATTTTGTGCTATCCATTTGAGTTGTTGTAAGTATTCAAGTGATGCTGGTTTTGTTCTTTCTTTGTGATTCTGTAGCTCCAGTCTATAAAATCTGATGAAGGTTGTCTTCTTTAAAACTTAAAGGATTCATTTGCTTGAATGAAATCAAGAATGTTTATGAACTTAGATCATTATAAAAGATTTTAATGCTAAACATCTTTACAAGTGTTTACTAACATTAGACATTGTGTTTTACAAAATAAATTTGGTTAAAAAAGAAAAAAAAAATGCAATGGATTATTGTTCTTATTCTCAGACCTTTATGTTTATTTCTATTCTTGAATATGAAGAGGTTTTCTTTCAATCTATCAACTTGAAGACATGCAATTAAAAGTGTGTGATTGAATTAAATCTAACAAGAAATAACTGGTATTGAGTTATATTTTTTCGGTATTTTACAGAGGCCCTTCGTGGAATGGAAGCTGTAGCAGAACACATCAACGAAATGCAAAAGATCTATGAAGAATACGGTTACTCCTTTGATGAGTTGTCTCGGATGTACAAAGAGCACCATCCCCACAATAAAGTAAGTTGATCAAGTAGCAGAAAAAAAAGTTCATGAGAAAATAAAATTACGCAACTCATTTTGAAATATTGCCAACAACTAGTTTAAGATTGTGCATTTTTGTTTTATATTTTTTAAAATATTATTTTTAAAGTTTGCACCTGAAGAATGTAAACTTTAAATTGGCCCCATGGAAAAGTCAATTGTAAAGAATGAATTTAAATGTTATTAACACTGAGTGCAAAAGGTGATTTTATAATCAAATTAATTTTTGCAATGTTATATACAACATCAATAATGTTGATTATGGTTATGATGATTGTAGACCCTTCTGGTCCCACTATAGAATGCTGGCATCAAAACAGATCCAGCAGGCATTTTGAATAAATAAGTTGTTGAGTTTACCAAATCTTATTTTGCTTTGACTTTTCAGAGGCCAGTTTCATATAACATCTCTTTCTACCCTAATCCCAGTGGAAAAGGCAATGAATGCAAAAACGTCCTATTTAGAAAATAAATTAAATCTGACCATGTTTATTTGGTTGTTTCCTCACAACTAATATTTTTAATTTTACTTAACTTTTTGTTATCTATTTCATTAAAAGTTAAGATTTAATATTTTGGTTGCTTATTCATAAAGCATCCTTTTATAATGTGCTTAAACCAAAAAATGAAAATACAACAAATATTTGTGCAATCAAGAGGAGTTTTCACTATATAAAAGTAGAGTGTTTATTTTTAAACTAGCATAATACCACTGTCTATATTTCTATGATATTTACACTATTCAGACTGTTGTCCTCATCTTTATTGCCATATTCACAATGTTTCGTCCATTGTACACTCCAGCCTTTATAACAGTTTCAATTCTAAATTCCAACAAAATGATGAAGATGGCCAGAGCATACAAATGCTGAAACATTGTGAATATAGCTTTAAAGATGAGAACAACAGTCTGAAATAATGCAAATAGTGTAAATAGCATAGTACCTGCAAAAAATGATTGGATTATTTATGCATAGATCAGAACTTCGGCCAGATTATAAGTGTAGTAGCTGTATCATGTGAAAACTGTCACTCTCTCTCTCTCTCTCTCTATATATATATATATATATAAAGTCTGAATAGTACCATTAAGCATCATTCTTATCATAGAATCTCAAAATATTCCTATCTGCTCAGTTTCATATCCTAACGTAAACAAAGCACTTTTCTAAAGAAGTAATGGATTTTTTTATTTATTACTCCAATGGATTTTTATCACTTTAAATGTTATTTTTACTTGATACTCATATTTGAGTAGGCACTCCATTTATTTACTAAACAGTTTATTTTAATCTACCAGCCTGAATATTTGAGAAATCTTGTTAAAGAAAATATGCACTCTCTGGTAGGATTCAAACCTGCCTCCCACTGGGAAGAGAACGGTTATTAGATCCGATGTGCTTTAACCAACTCGATCATGAAGAATCTTTGCCAATCAAGCAAGGCTGAATAGTGCCTTTAAGCAAGAATCTCAAAATTTTCACATCTGCTTAGTTTTGTATCCAAACATAAACAAAGCATTTTTCTAAAAGGATTTTTTTATTTATTAATCCAACAGATTTTATTACTTTAAACATTATTATATAAAATCAAATCATTAGACTAACTTTTTTTTTATCTTCATCCAAAAATCTTCAATCATCGTGACAAAATTTTAAACAATCTCAAAATCAACATATTTTCTTAACTTTGTCATTTATTTGGTAGTATAATAAAAATGCCATTAATATATTTCAGAAGTAATATAAAATTTTTTTTAAATATTAAAGTTTTAAGAATAGATAAATACAAAAACAAATTTGACTAATTTTTATAAGAATAGCAACCTTATTTTCTGTAAATCTTACTGTTAAATGAACTTAAATAATTTCACACATGTGCTTATTAAGTTTCATGTGCTGAGTAAGTTTTATACATCAATAATTGAACTATGCATTCATTTTCTACATAAAGAATATTAGCACATTCCAGCTCTTCACAATCCCAAACTCTTTAAAATCATTACTAAATATACATTTCATTTACAATTACCTACTTTAATTTTAATCAAATTATTTTTATCATCTCAAGATCATTCCCCCCAAAATGTAACTATCTCAAACTAATGCTCAATTGACAATCAGACGTTTTAATCTTATATGCACACACAATTATACATGTAGATAGATAACTTTTGTGATCAAAAACTGTTAGAGGATATTTTTAATATTGTTTCATTATTGCCTTTCAGCCGGTAGACCTAAGTGTGGGAGAGTTACAAATGTATGGAACAGTTCAATGGTGCAATGCTATAGATTTCCTTGGAAAGATCAAGAAAGGGACAGACCTGGAGAATGTTGTGTTCGTTTTTAAGACTGGAATTGTCTTTCTGTGCCGTGAGAGGGTGAAGAGAAAATTCAAAAAGGTAAGAACTAATTTTCTTTTACATCAAATAACATGTGGATATGTTAAGTTAAATGAAGAAAAAAAAAAGAAGAAAAATTATTATTTGAGCCATGGACAGCAAATGACAGAAATTTCCACCAGTCTAGCCTTAGGTGAAACCAATTTAAGAGAAGGAAAAACTTTGAATTCCAAGCTATTTCATCCCAAATATTAGGATTTCGTAAGTTTGTAATAAATGCTTGAAAAGTAACTTGTTTTCAATTGAGCCATAGACAGATGATGGTTGAAATACCAGCAATAATTCATCTAAATTCAATATCTTTCTTGTAAGTGTGACTGATGGGAATTTTTGTCATGGCTCAACATTTAACTTTAAAAGAAAATGTCATGTTCCTTCAGGACATAGGCAATCATGGCTCTCCGTAGATTTCTTTATCTGTGGATAGTTTTCTTGGGAATGATAGTGTAGTGGTTTCCCATTACCTTTTCCATAGTATAGAATTCAAAATTTTTCCTTCTCTTAAACTGTTTACACCAAAGGCAAGAAAATCCAGTTTAGTTTAGGGTCAGGAGAAGAAATGGATTTACACCTTTCCCAAATAGTATTTGTGCAAAAGTGAATACATCAAGCTAGGTTGGATTTTTAACTCTACTTACTAAGTTCACCTCCTGTGCTGATAGCAGTTATGCTACCCACATATTTATATTTAATTGATTAATTTAAAACCTTTTTTTTTTAATGTCACTTCAAGATGTAGATGATCATTACTCTCCACAGATTTAATATCTTTATCATCTCTGAATTGCCCTAACATCAAGAGAAAGACAGTAGAATGGTTACCTATTGCCTTTTAATCTTATGGCCATATCACATTGAAACACCAGTTTTCATATGATGACCATAGTTAAGCAACATTGAGCCTGGTCAGTATCTAGATAGGTAATCACTTGGGAATACCAGGTGGTGTAATAGATAACAGCTTGGAAGTTGAAAATCAAAGAGCCAAGTTCCAATTCCTGTCAGTTTTGTTATATTCACAGATGTGCAAATGCCCTTCTATGAAGCAGCCACTTCTTTTCCCATTGTTAAATAGGACCTGTATCAGTAAATCATTATCTCCAAAACATTCTTACAATCTAAAAATATTTTCTGGCTTTAAATAACGTGATCAACTGCTAAACAAATCAGTCAATCAATAAAACAGATTGCCTTTTTTTTAATTATCTTCCTAGACTAGCTACCTCCCAAAGTTAAAAAGTTCAACCCCCACCAAGGTTAAAAAGTTCAGTTTCTACCTTTTACTTAACCTAAGCTAGAGGAAGAAGAAATGGATTTACGCATTTCCTAATATCATGAGTAAAACTATCAAACTGATAACCAATGTCAATTCCATCTTATTTTTATCATTGTCATTTAATTGATCCCAGCATATTAAGAGTACCATAAAGAAACTGGCATGCAATTAAGATTGTGTGATTAAAGAGACAAAACAAGAAAACTAAAGGAATAACATTTTTTTAAAAAATTCTCTTTACAGAGCAGCAGCAGTCGGAATGCCCCATTATCAGAAGGCTATGATGCCATCCCCCGTTTCCGCACCCTAATCCCTGTACATGAGGTGCAAGTTGTCAGCGGCTCACGGGCAGATTGTGAGAGGCACTATTGGTGGCAGCTGATCCACTCCAAGTCTGAGATAGAAGGCCGGCCAGAGAGGCTGTACCAATTTTGCAACTGGTAAGTAAATATTTGGTATACAAATAAAATTGAATTTCTAATATACAAATGAATACAATCATATGTCCTAGCTGTACCCATGATAATTCAACTGCTATTGACAATTAAGATTATTCATTATATCTCATGCCTTTGCTATCCATTATCCTTTCCACTTGTTCAGATTTCTATTAAAATGATATACAAACAGATTAGTTTCATATGCAAAGAAATAAGAAGTATTTTCTACTGTATCATTTCTTTTGATCTCTCTCATTAATCTCATCTCAATATATTAAAATTCATAAAAAATTTTAATGTCTTTTTTTATACTAATGTTCACCCAGTACAAGGCCCAAGAGGCCACTCAGGGTAAAGTGTTACTGTGTGGTGTTGTATAAGAAAAGGAAAGAAGTGTAGTTCATGATGTTATGTAGGAAAGATAATTGTTAACCCTAGAATTGAAGAGGTCAAGATTATAGTGATTAGGAAAATATCCTGCCAGAAGTTTCTTCCACAAAGAAGCTGTCAAAGAGGAACTTACTGCTTACTAATGGAATACAAAGGGAATGAGAAGGATTCACCATTGTGTGCATGGCTTGGCAGGTCTCATTCACAAAGGTCGGGGCTAGTGGAACCAAGGAATGTAGCTCATCAGAACACATGCTATAAAGGAGTGAGAGGCTTGCAACATTTCAGCTGTGAAAATGTTGTAGAATAGAAAATAACTCATTACCCACAAGACTGCATAGACACTTTTGAACTCACTCAAGACAGGCAAGTGATAAGTGAGCTGCTCCAGCCCAGATATGGCAGGAATACTCCATTTTTGTTCTGATCTGGTTCTTGTAAAGATAGCATATAGCAAGAGGAATCAGATAATATATTGCAATTTTTATACCTTTCCATCCATACCTGCATTTCTCTTTGTTGGCTATATATTAAGCAAAAGATTTCTATCTTTTGTACATAGAAAACAAGAAGAATTATAAATTAGATAAGACAATTCCTTTAAAAGTTTAGGTCTAAGGTTTTTACTTTTAATATTTGGGCAAAAAATTACTTCAGGGATTGTTTATAGTTTTTACCTGTTCTCTTACTTTTGTCTTTTGTAAATACATTATTTTTATTTTCTGACTGAAATTCATTTACTGCTGTCTAATGATTTAGAACCTACATTTTTCTATCTACCACTTGACATTAAAGAAGTTAATTGAAACCTACAAATTAAAGCTTGAAATTCATAAAAATCTAAGACACTATAAGAGAAAACAAAAGGTTTACCTTTTGAAAGATATAAAAATAAGCTATAAATATAAATAATACTTTTACGTATCTAAATGTATGATCTTTTAAAACCAATACATCAAAAGAAAAGCTTTTAGATTTTTTTTAAGTGATCAGTTTTATTATTCATGACACTGAAGATTTTGAGAACAAAAGAGAACAAGTTTTTCTCTTATTGATTGAAAAAAAATTATCTGTTTTTGATCTTTTCTGTAACTTCTAAATCACTTTTAACCTTTAATTCTGTGGTCATTGTTTTTATGATATCTAATAATACAGAATGAAAAATGAGAAACAGCTATTGTTATAAAAATAAAGAAACTTTATCTTATTGTTGGAGATCAAATTTCGTCTTCTCTAATTCAGTCCATCATGCTTAAAAATAACCATATTATTAACGTATTTTAAAAAAAAATATATTTCACTTTATTTTTGTCTAATTTTACTTAAAGTAAATGCTAGTTTCTTATAAACTAATTCATGCATTATATATTTACTAAGATTAGCATAGTACAGCACAAGGCAAAAATGGAAGATTGTGATGTGTATTTTCCAACTGGGGAGGTCTTGATTAGATAATTTTGAAAGCTCAAACACCGATAACCAACTATCAAATGAATAAGTAATCTCAATTCATATAGTAAGTGCTTATTTAAAGAAAAAAAAATTAATTTTGAATTATTGACCACAGTATCAGGATATTCATTAGAGAAAGAGAGCCTGAAAAAGAAAGAAGAATTCTTTATTGGGATTTTACTGATTGCCTCCAAAGGTGTACTTATATTCTTAGCACTGGAAAAAGCAAGAAGGCAAATCATTTGTATATGTTTTACTTCTCTTTTATAAGCATCAACTTAATATTCTCCATATAATTTTTAAAAGGCAACTAACTTATATTAATTCCAGACAGCCCCCGTCTTCCCCCGGTGCATTCTACCCTCCCACACTGGCTGATTAGGGGACGCAGGCAGTGCTTTGTCACCCTTACTACCTTATGAACATTTGCTTTTTTTCTACCTTCATTTATATACATTACAAATTAAACTAAGCACAACTGACTATTAAAGGATGAACAATTTTGATGTCATTCTGGGGTCTTTTTTGTTCAATTCCTGAATTTGTTTTGCTCATGCTAAATTTAAAAAAAAAAAAATTCACTATTTTTATCCATAATGTTGTACATGTTAAAATTATTCAACTTTTTAACAAAATCTCAAGCTGATGTTAAAAATTGCCACAAAACATTGATTTATTTAACACCTTGAGCACTGCATTCCTGAACAATTTTAACCCTTTTGCCTGAGCTCCTGAGCCAAAATTCGCAAATAATTGGTATGTAATGTTTCATGGTAGATATAAAAATAGTTACAGGTATTTACCCACCATTCAACTGGTGACTGGGGTTTAAGTCCTTTTTCTCTACCAGTGGTGGTCAAGGCTCAAAGTTTTATAAGATGGAATGATCTATTGTGAATGCTAATTTGTATTTAGATACATTGTATTTATTTCCAATTTTTCTAGTTGAATTGTTCACCTATATTGCATATGATCCATTATTGTACATAATTATGTCACAATAAAATTTGTATTTTATATGAATACTACCTTATGAAAATTGAGATGTAATAGAGTGTCAGATTTTTGGGGGGGTTGGATACAAAAACCTTGCACCAATCATGATTCCAGAAACCACTCCAATCACATATAATGATTTTCTTTTTCAGTTCTAACATGTCCTATATATATTATATGGAGTCATAAATAATTTCCATTTTAAAGAACAAACTGTAACAACAAATTTATCTTTTCTGTTAATCTGATATGGTAGTTAAGAATAAATTTAGGGTAATGTTTAACCTTTGTACCCACAAAGAAAAAATGGTATGTCAAAAAGATGGTTATTCTCTTGACACAGCTATTTCAGCAATGTTTATCATTTTAAAAAATGATGATTAGAATTTTAATAAGATCCAAACATATGAAAGTGGATTTATTTATTTTCTTTGTTCTTGAAAATTGATAAAGATATTAAACACAATTTATTTAGATTGTTTATTTAGAAGAATAATTTTATATTTAAAAGATTATAAAAATGTGAACCAACTGTAATGAAATATTTAGTATTTATCATTTTATAAAGAAAAAATTATTTCAAGAAATTTTTTATTTATAAAAATGCCTGTGAAAAAGAAAATTTGAATAAATACAATGATGTGCAACTAATTAGAAATTATGGAAAAAAGGCATTTTTCATGCATTTCTTTCATTTGCTATTGTCACATAAATTCCTTGAAACAGGTAAAGAGCATCTCTTCCTCTGAACCAAACATTCTTTTAGTTTATGTTTGTCATATGTTTATTCAAAGTTTCATGTTCTATAGTTATTTATAAAATGGTACACAAAAAATATTGAATTGTTGTCAGTTTACATATTTTGATAATTTGGTAATTTTTTTATAAATTTTTAAAACATTTCTTTTCAAATGAATTTCTATATAAAAGGTAAATAATAAATATTGCATTGTACTTGGTTCACATATTTTTATAATGTTGTAAATAAATATTGCTGAGGGAGTCAAAAGTGCATACCTTGTCAAAGGAATAACAGTCCTTTTGACATACTGATTTTATGCAGGCATGAAGGTTAATCATTGCCAAATTTGGAAAACAGTAGGTTTAATATACCTCAGTTTTTACATGCCATTGGCAACATATACAGTAAATTAAGTGAAACATTTTTCCTTTCCATGACAATACAAGACTGCAAGCAGTAAGAATAACAAAGTAAAAAATTCACCAAATTTTGCACCAACCAATTGTTACCTTTTTTGATTGCTGCAAAATGCTTTGATGAGGAAAACTTCCTTTAATGTAAACCAGATTGAAGAGTTTGTTGAAAACCTCTTCACATGAAAATCTGCAAAATTTTACTCAAAAAGGTATTGAAGAGCCACCTGATAAGTGGTAAAAGCTCATTACCAATAATGGTGATTATATAATTAAATGAAATGTAATTAATTGTACTTTACTTTTTGAAGAATAAGCAAAAAGAGAAATTATTTATAATTCAACATCATATTTTTTATATTGTTTCCTACCATATTATACAAAAACAAATATAACCACAAGACAAGTTTAAAACAAAGTATAAATGGTATTTTCAGTTTTCCTTGTGTATTTTTAGTAGACCATAAAATCAGGGTATTTTAGGATGGTATTCTATCAAATTTGAACCAGAATTGATCAAATACCACTTGAAAATAGTTTTTCTCACAAAATTAATTAAATATTTCTAATAAATCAGTAAATAATAATTATTCATGTCATAGTTTATGGCACTATTAATAATTTTCTTATTAATTGGGGGGGATATGGTTAAGAAAACCATTTTTAGTAGACTAGCATAGTACTCATAAAAAATATCAATACTATCTGTGCATGGATCAGCACAATATCTGTGTGATTTGTAAAAAGTATTACAGAGAAAATATAATCATCAGCTGTTGAGCTGTAAATTTTCAAACAGCAAAACTGGAAAAAGTAAGCTAAGAATAATGAGGGTATTTGAAGGTAAGCTAAGAATAATGAGGGTATTTGAGGGTAAGCTAAGAATAATGAGGGTATTTGAGGGTAAGCTAAGAATAATGAGGGTATTTGAAGGTAAGCTAAGAATAATGAGGGTATTTGAGGGTAAGCTAAGAATAATGAGGGTATTTGAAGGTAAGGAAGAAAGCTAGAGAAAAAAAATCTGAAAGGATAGTGAGAAGGGATGTAGACAAAAGACAGAAGTCTGTTGTCTTGATTTTTATTACTCCTTTACCACTTGTTTGATCTTTCAATGTTTGTGAAACTTTAATAGAGAAATTAGTAATCTTTATAATGAACTCATAAATGGTTAACTAATTCACAAAATACAAAAAAGTACATCGAGAAAAATACTTCTTTAATTAATGAAAAGCTAAATTTAAAAAACTTAAAATGTTGATTTTTTTAAAAATTTTCAGAAATGCACATTTAAACAATTTCCAAAGTCATTCTCAGTTTTACACACACACACGTGTGTGTGTGTGTATAGCAGTTTTTCATCTATGTGGGGTTGACCAAAGACAAATAAAAGTACTTTTTTCCTGATTTCCAGAAGTTTCAATAGAGGAAAAAAAGACCTAGCAATAAAACAAATCATTGGTTTATCTTTAAAAGTTTTAGATAATTACAGTAATTTGTGATATTCTGGCTGTTTAAGTCTTCCATAAATCATTTAGGATATTTTTTTTATATATAATTTCAACAATAAAGTTCATTCAATTTAAGAACAAATATACCAGTATATTTTTACAAAATAAAATAAAACTAAAAAAAACAAAAAATCACAAACTGATGTGTGAAAACATGATACTAAAGAAAAAAAAAGTCATTACACCCACTGACAGATGAAGACAATACATACCCATAGATACAACCATATCATCCCCTCTTACAAAAATGTTTTATAATATTTTATGAAAGCTAAAAATGATCAGGAGGCATTGGACAATTTATGTTCAAATTCTCGCAGGAAACCAAAAAAATGGTCCAAACTGTAGAAAAATTATAAAAAAAAATCTTGGACTCTCATTGATCTTCAACCAAACTTGTATAAATCTATATATTGAACCAATTGACTTTTCCAAATTTATAAATTTGATGTCTTGAGTATAGTTTTGCACAGCTTGGCCCAAATTTAAGCTACTAATAGGAAAAAAATATCCACCATTAAAAAAAATAAAGATAATGCTTCTGCGTATTTTGAACAGAATATAGTTATTTTCCATCTTTTATAATGTTAGTAACTTTCTCCAAAATGTCATTGAAGAATGAATGTGCTTTTTATTGTCTGCTATAAAAATAAAATAAAGATAAATATCTATTTTCCTTTCTTGAAAGAAACTAATTTTTTCTTCTACTCTTTTGCAGCACATCTGAGGCTAAAACAGATTTCATGAAGGTTATCAGACAGACTATAAGAGACAGTGTTCGGAAAATGGCTGTGCCATCAGCACGGCAAACAGCCAAGACCAAATACATTCCATTTGGTGGTAAGCGCCTGGAGTGTTTGGGTTCAAACCCACGCACCCTGAGTAAGAAACGTGGTGGAGTCAAGGCCCCGGAGACAGAGAGGCATTCTCTGGACTTTGAGGAGAATTTTAACAACAGCGAGTACGACAGCATGTTCAGGACAAGGAGTAAGACAGTTGGAAACCTGAACGAAGTCGCGCAGGGGGAAGAGGGTAAGGATGAGCCTGTGGCTGACCAGGTACCTGCTCGGCCAGCATCGTCGATCGCCAACCCTTATAGTACGGCACCTCATGGGATGTCAAACAGGCATCTGCGGGCTGCCGGGCAGGAGCAGTCGGCCTCACGGCCAACATCCCCTAGACCCACAGGCGGTGGATCGCCTGTTTGGAAACCACGCCAGGAGCCAACTGGTATCATTGGCAGTGGTGGCGGCAGTGATGGACGAGGCTACATCAACACTAGTACAAGCAAACCAGGAACGCCGACACAGGTGCTGCCATCACATGCAGTAGCTAGTGCGCTTAGCAGCTCCGAGGCTTCGACACCGACCACTTCATCTGCATACGGGGATTACTCTGATGTTGTCTACCGGGCAGACACTCCAAGTCGGGTGATTACACACCAGCCCTCCCATTGCATCGCGTACAAGGACACTGAGTGCTGAGACAGAAGAAATCAACAAAAAAAGAGAAAAGAAATATAGCTTAATTTCAGAGAACCTCTTTTTTTTGGATACTAAAAGACAACACCTGGAAAACGAAAGGCAGGTAGCAGGGATACCTGCCTGCCCACCTGCCTGCCTCCATGATGTTACATTGTGTTGGCTGTTTTTCATTGTTGTGTACTTCTGAGTCATGTTTTCAGTGTACTCCACGGCAGATAGACATTGGGTATTGCTGGATATATATTCTCTCTCTCTCTCAATCTCTCTCGATTGGTTAATCTCTCAACCAATCAAATCAATCGCAGAAGATTGATGAGACATGATGAAAAGATATTTATTTTTGGAATGAATGTCAATATGAAATGAATTGCCTCAGCTACCAACTGCAATAATGAATAATATTTAATAAACTCATGATGAAAATAATATCAATAATACAGACAAGCCAAAAATCAGTAATGATGAACTGATAAATCATCAAAAACTTTCATAATTTATCATGATGGCTTAGGCCAAATAATATTAATAATAATAATAACAATAATAATAATAATAATATGACAATGGTAATTATTGTTTAGTAATCAGTAAATTATTCAATTATGATTATTTAAATAAATATTCTTTTTTCTTTAAATGCAAAAAAGTTGATAAAATGTTTGTTTCTTTTTTCATACATCACTTGCAAAAATTCTGCAAAGCAAACCTCACAGACAAACTATCACAAAACCAGCACTTCAAAATATCAATGAATCCTCCCAAGTAAATGATTAAACTCTACAAATAATTATACAAACAATGTAAATCAAAAAGAAATTATTTAGTAAATAGAATTACAGAGAAATTCTTGCATGATATAAAGATTAAGCATCTTAAAAAAAGAAACAAAAAAAAAACATCTTTTTCCAAATAAACAAAATGTAAACAATTTTCTTAATATCAAAGAAAAAATATTATTTGCACTCAATACCCTCTTGTTGCTATATATTAAAATGCCAAACAAAAATGTTTTGAGGTCAATATGCATATATTTCCACGGAAACATTTTAAATTGGTTCACATTAATATATTCTTACCTATAATGATAACATGAAACCAATGCAAATATCTTCTGTTTCACATAATGTATAAAAGAGCAGCTTTTAAAATTTTGAAAGTAAACATAGAAGGAAGTTATCAAAAGGATAAACCAATTATTTGATTCTGATTGATCAGTTATATTAAATGCTAGTGTGTTATCTCAATGATTAAGTTATAGGCATTATTATTTCTGAGTGTAGATTTAGTAGCAATTCAGTTAATTCTCTAAATAGATAAATTTGTTTTCATTGTGTTGTCAACTGCCCTGCATATTATATGACAAATATATCTTCTTTTTAAAGTCTTTTTTCATTTAATGTTTTAATTAAAAATTTGTTTATAATTTTAAAAACAAATCTCATTCCCTTTAAAATATTTTCTCATGACCAGATAAATGTCAATTTAAAAAAAAGTTCAGGTAAATATTTGTTTGTTATACAATCAGCAGTAATTGATTCTAAAACATCCAACAAATAAATTTGTTAAAGAATTAATATAAGGAAATTAGGTAATAAAACATAGAATAATTAAAAGTATTTTCTCTTAATTATCAGGAAATAACATTGTTTTTAAAAGGTTTCATATTTAAAATTTTGGTTTCTTTATAATTCATCATCAAGCAATTTCTGTGTGAATTATTATTATTATACACCGATTTATTTGAATTGGTATCCATCTTGTTTGTTATAGCCAGAGCTCAGCTCTTGTACCCTTTGGCCTGCTCAGAACTATTGCCAAGTAAAGAGGAGTCTATTCTCCCACCAGAAGAAAATAATTTGCCACCTTACCCCATGAAAATGATGTGAACTAATTTTAGTGTACAAATACTTGGAGCTCCTGTGACAAAGATTCCCCCCCTCCCAACAAATTAAAACACTTGGTGACAGACCTGTGCCTGCCTCACGTACCCATCATATTTGGTAAAGTTTTCAGAATTTCTAATTGAAACCTTTATTTAATCCATGGGAATGATCTGTTTTTATCCTGCTGTCTCTACTAGAAGATAATCTCATCTTAGTTAATTTGTCTGTGTGATGCTGCAATAAAATCTATATATTCTGAAGACAGCAGAAGTTAGAGAAGAATTTGGATGAAGAATAGATCAGTCCTCTGTATTGAATAAATGGCTTAGTTTGGAATTCCAAGAAACTTACTGAATACAACAGGTACCGGAAAAAGATAAATCTAAAAAAAAATAAAAAGATTATAACAATCAAAATGAGAACATCAGTTTGAATAAACCGGTGTACAATCATCATTCATTCAGTTTGTACAGATTGATATTAACTACAAACTATAGAATATAAAAACTGATTTGTCATTATTTTATATTCACTTCAGATATTAACATATTTTTGTTTTGATTACATATGTGAAAAACTTGATATAAATAAGTCATCATCAAAAAACCTGCTGTTTTAATTTCCAGTGAAGTGCAAAGAAATATATATCAAAATGATTTTATAGTGATTGTAAACCTATTGTGAATATTCAGTTGATATAAAATATAAAGAAAGTATTCTTGTTTGTTGGAATAAAAACAAACTGATTAATACAACAAAGCAATCTACAGCCTCATTTTACAATGAATATCAAGTCAAAAACAGACTTCTCCACAAATCCTGCTACATAAATATTGCATAAATTTTAAATTTAAGGAGAGAGGAATAAAAAGTACTCAAATTAATTTCTATTGAATACAAAAATATGGCCATGGTTGGTTTTTGGGTTAAGAAGATGTTGAATATTACGTGTTGAAATTATTGGATATTAACTTGGGAATCTTGTGAGTTAATTTAAAATATGTAATTAATATTTTCTCTAAAATCCTTTAACTTTTCAAAAACATGTAAAAATATGTACATGTACTTTCCCCTTATATAAGTGTCTAAGCTACACACATGATATTCATCAGTTAGAGTTGATGATATCAAAAAAGTTATTTTAAATTAAAACAAATATCTGTATAGATATTAATCTGGACATATATTCCAGTTCTTTAAAAAAAAAAAAAAAAAAAAAAAATTATTCTTTTATACTGCACATTCAAAATATATTCCAGTCAGTTATCACAATCTATTTTTTTTTGTGTGAGTGTGTGTGTGTGTATATATATATTTGGATTGATGTGAGATTGTGACCCTTGGTTTCATTCTTTTCACACACACAAATAGAATGCAATAACTGACTGGGATATATTTGAATGTGCAACATTATATATATATATATATATATATATATCGTCAGCTTTCCCTGACGATCTGCTTAGGTAAAACCTGGGTAGGTTTGTCTGGCTCACTAGGTATATATATATATATATATATATATATATATATATATATATATATATATTCGATTCCTGTTAGAGGCATATTTTTCTTTAGCCAGAGTTCTTGATCTAGGTTGGTTGTTATTAATTTTACTGTTTAAGAAAGTAAAAACAGTGATAGTAACTAAAACACATGTACACACTAGAAAAATGTTTGTTTTTTTTAATAGTAAGTGTGTGTGTATATATATATATATATATATATATATATATTCATTCATTTTATATAGTAATTTAAAAAATGAAAGTGAAAGATGGATGCATTGTTTTCCTTGTAATATAAAAAAATTTAAATTCTTGATGCTTTTTAGATCATTTCTAAATCAATAGAAAAAGTAGCAGAAACAAAGTAACAAGTCAAGGATGTTTATATAAGTTTTAACAATTAAAATATAATTTTGTTATATATTATTCCTTTCTTTGCTTTTGACAACAATAAAAAACAAAATAGAAATAATGTAGTACAGTAGTCAAGATTATGATTTCAAACGACCCAAAATAGATATACCATTGTGTCATCCGTTTCTAACTTACTCTATATCAGAAATTTAAATATATGTTATCTATGAACTCTAACAGAATAGAAATTAGCAAGTTTATAAAATAAATGTAACCAAATTACATTTTATAAATGAAGCAAATGTTGTAATGACCTCTTCTCTATCTAAAAATGTAATGATTTTCATGGCCATAGCCAAGTTGATATTTGCACAACAAAATATAAATTAAAAGTATTTTTGGGTAGGTTATTTAATTGCACTTTATTAGATTGTAAGTCATTTAAACATCTCACATCAGAAATTTGGATACTATAGTGAAATTTAAAGAACTTTGCTTCTTTTCAATTATTAGGGGATGAACATTACTGTAAGCTTTTTTTTTTAGCTGTAAGTTTCTCTATTGTAAATTTTATGTCTTCCATGTAATTTCTCTATTTTCTTGCCAATATATTAACAACTTAGTTGAGCAACTGATTAAATGGTCAACTATTTTTATGAATTAAATTTATAAATATTTTAAGACCTCTTTCTTGATAACTTCCTTCAATCAAAACTTATGATTTAGCAAATCAGGGAACTCATATTTATATATAAAAAATTAAATTATTTATAAAACTAAATCTTTACCACTTTTTACAATTATGCATTTTTGTGACAATTTAAAATAAAAATATTAAATTTAAGACAATCTTTCTTTAAATGGTTGAACGAACATGTATAACCATTGTGTTGAAGAATTTAAAAAATTTTTTGCCAAAAATCTGTACTCAAATGATTCAAAAAAATTCATTACAAAAAATAAATTACAAGCACCCATACATAGGAAAAAAAAAATCGACATAAAAATTTTTGATGAACTCTGATGTGAGACAATTTTGACCCATGACAATGAAACATGTTTTATCGACATAACTAAACAATTGCACAAGAATGCAGAATATATGTTTATGTATATACGATTGTGTGTCCATTTGTATGCCCACATATACACAATCATACAAATACAATCACACACATATACATATATATATATATATATAATATTCAAATACAAAAGTGCTTCACCTACTGTCTGAAAACATTTCTGAAAG